GCTGAACGTGACCGTTTCCACTTTCCGAGAACTGAACGCAAACTGGACAGGGATTATTGAGGGTGTAGCCTACATGAATTCTGCAGTTCCCCGAATTTGTCTTCGTTGGAGCCAAATAAACCAACCTCGATGTTGGCCTGTACAACTACGTGTAAATGGGAACGTGATACATCCCTCTTCCCTATTCTTTTTATTATTATTATTGTATGTCAGGGGCTGGCTCTCCAAGAGTGTGTGTGGTGTGATGATAGCAGTTGCCTTTACATGACTGTGAAGCGAGTTTAAGTGGTTTGCCATTGGTGTGTTTGTATTTGCCCAAAGGGGTTTTCGTGTATTGAAGCCCTTGCTGCATCGGTTGAATGGGGCGCGTTGAAGTGGCCCTTACATTGTCTTACTTATTTGGACGCGCGTGCATGCGCACGCCTGTGGGAATAAGCTGAGGTCAACTGGCGGGGCGCCTGTTAGTCAGCGGGATTGTCTTGGCCGTCAGGATGCTGAAGGGCAGAGGATACTGACGCAGCTGCTATCGGTTAGCCAGAAGAGGAACACTGAAGCTGGAGTGGGCAAGTTGGAAAAATCCGCTGTATTTATGTTGTTCTGAATAAAGCTCTTGCCACCAGAACCGACGCGTTGCCTGCTTCTTCTGCCTACTCCGCGTGTCATAACACCTACCAAATGTAAAGCGCTGGTTCAAGTTTTCCTTATTTGCGTCCGCATACAGCATTTCCTGATTGCTTTGTGATACATCTGTGCAATTTCTAACAAAATTTATCATTGTGAGGGAGAGCGGGTTTTTTTGGCTTCCCCCAACCTTCCAGGAGCAGTAAATCACAACTAGGTTGCTCACTGTGTGTTCCTGCGAAACCGATTCCTCAGAGACACCCAAATGCGGACAAGGGCATCTGAGGGAGTGTAGCGGTCCAAGTACTGTTTGTACTCGGATCACTACAATAATCAGGCCGAATCCCAAGTTGTAGGTAGGTAGGTAGGGCACTACAACCAGTAGGCCAAAATCCCAAATTATTGGTAAAAGGCTGAACGCAATTGTGGAAGGGCTTTATTGTGTACAAAACTCCTAGGTGCTGTCTTGGGTGACAGTAGTCACCAGCGAAGCCAGGGCTAGTGTTGACCTCGTCCAGTTAGGCCACAGAGAGCGTGAGACAGTGATGGCAGCTGTTTTAGCAGGATTTCCGAGCAGGTTCGAGTGTTCTCCACTTGGTGCGTGTGGTATTACCCGAGGGGTGTCATGTCTGGTGGCGTAGGCTCTGTCGGCCGAGGGTGGGGGAAATGGCATGTTCAAGTGGCGCTGGAGCAGCTGCGACAGCCTAGACGCACGTGTGTGTCCGAATGGAAGTCGGTCAAGTGTCTGCAGGTCAGCATGTCTGAAAGTGCTGACTGAGGTAGTGGATAACTTTGAGGTAGCTGGCGTTGAACAAAGACGCCGGACAAAGCAATATTGGGCCTCGGCTACAGAAGTTCTTTTCTGTTTCAAGCTCTCACGCTGTTCACGAAAGTTTCCTCCTTTGACTTATGTAATCACCGAGATGAGGATTTCTTCTCCTCAAGGTCCTGCTGTCCACATAATTCAGTCACAGTAAAGCCTATTTGCCAAATTTCGGTGTTTGTTTGTTTATTTGCTACACTTCTACGTTTTAACTTCTACAGAACGTCGAAAACCGAGCGCCGGCCGACTACGGGGCAGTAAACGGCTTCCATGGGATCCGCGCGATGAGGTGGTAAACCTGGCCACTGCTGCACCCATGAGTCTCAGCCTCTGTTCCCCCGCCATCGCTCAGGCTTCGCCAGTTGCT